ACTTAACAAAAACCTCTTTTAATGATCATTTCAGTAATTTTACATACAAAAATTACTGAAATATGTTTTTTTGTTGAGTTAAAATGGGATTATTTCAATAATTTTGTATGTAAAATAATTTATAAAAGGGTAGAATGGGTATTTGGAAAAAATGGGTGCATCAATCTAACTTTTTTCCATCTGGAACAATGACGGAAGGGAGGTTTTTGTCAAGTTTCTAAAAAGTTGAGGGGAAGTATTTGTTAAAATGAAACTATAATGGAGGTTTTTATGATTGTCAGAAACTTCAGGGGAGGTTTTTGTATTTGACCCTAAATGTTTTTTTATTTTTTCTATTTGGTTGGGTGTTTTATGTACGTTTCAAGTAACACCCCATAAAGTTGCTTTCCACCTCAACTTAAAGTGCACCACATCAACATTTTAGTTCAGGAAATGTCCAAGCATTGGGAAAATGAGAATTTGACATTTCCCCAAATGCTCCATGCACATAAATCAAAGTGTTTCAGTTTTCTAGTGTTAATTTAATAAATGGTGAAACCAAACAGTGGTTTCATATGCAATAAACACCAACGCCTATGTGACACTAATGTAACAACATTTTTTTAATAAACGCCCATGAAACCAAACATAGCTATAGTCAATCCCCTTTAGAACATCATGAATGACTGGCAAGCAAAATTAGAAGAAAAAATGGACTTACAGAAGAAATGGATGATATTTGCAAAAGTTGATTTGGGAGCAGCGGAACAGCTATGTTTTTAAAGAAGAAAAGATTGAGCCAAGATGGGTACATCAATGGAGCAAATGTGTGGCTAGAGAGGCAGCTCATGTAGAATGGTGGGCGATAACTTTTTCTCTTGATCATGTTCCAAAACCAGGTTTGAAGAAAGTTCAAATATGTATAGATGATCAACATATATTATATGTCTTAGTGGAAGGAAAGGAAATGTGAAGTGGGATGAACAGGATGTATTTGAAGAAGTAGAGACCTTATCAATAAATTTGATGTTTGTTTATTTTTATATGTTTCAAAAAACAAAAAATAGTGCAACCTATGAAGTAGCTAATAGGACTAGAAGCAGTTTAAATCAACAATGACCCTTCGAATAGGGATGCAAATGGATCAGATTGGATTCAAATCAAGGTATGTTTAAATCCGATACGATATTGTTCATGTCGGATTCGATACGATCTGATCTGAAGATCCGATTAGATCTGATAGGACTCGATCTAAATTCGAATCCTATCAGATCTGATTTGATCCGACTTGTTTTTGTAATTAATAAATTATTAAAAAACAAAATATACAATTTAAATAAAAAAAACAAAAAAATATAAGTATTTTTTAATTATTTTTATCATATATACATGTTTTTTATAAAAAATAAATAATATAACAATTTTATAAAAATACAATACAAATAATATATTTATAAATAAATAACACACACACACACACACACACACACACACACACACACACACACACACACACACATATATATATATATATATATATATATATATATATATATATATTATTTATATTTATAAATATATAACACGTCGAATCGGATAGGAGTGATCCGAATTCGACCAAATAGGATCCTATCCATTTGCACCCTTACCTCCGAATTGGTTAAGAGCTCACTCTTCTTCCAATTCAATTCAGGAGAGTTTTTTCTTTTTTTTTTTTGTAAGCAAAGGGATCCATTGGAAACATCAAAAGGTTAAGGATACAAAAGGAGACCCCTCCTACAGAGATACGAGTTATGCCTCGAGGGGAGGGGTCTAGGTAACAAAATATAAGTTCTATTTACATTGGCCCTTTGGCAATGTCATGAGCAAGGCCCACATCATTTCTATTTAAATACATCATTTTAAGTTCCACGAAAAAAGAGAGAAGGAATTTTATGTGCTCGATTAGCGCCTGTTCGTTCCACCTAATGTTTCCCATGGTTCCTCTGAGCTTTAGCAGGATCTCCTTTGCATCGGATAGAATGATTGCTTGATTGATACCCAGCAAAATGAGTCTTCTCAGGCCTTTGATGATTGCCCAGAGCTTAGCTTCTGAGGTGTTAAAGGCCTTGCACTATTGTCCTTCTACAAAGCAAACACTGTGTGTGTATGACAATATATATAAACCTGTGGAGGCTAAGCTAGTTGTTGTGTTCCAGGACCCATCAACTATAACTAACAAATGGGAAGTTAGGGGCAGTTGGTAGGTAGAAAGGGCGGTATGTTCGGGTTGATGGTGAGATTGAAACCAAATCGAGTCTTCTGTGTTTGGGACATAAGAGTTTGCTTTTCTTATGACTTCAAGGGGGTCTGGGGACTTTCCTTTGAAGATCACTTCATTTCTATGATCCCATAATGCTCTCAGAGTGGCTAGGAGTCTAGCCAAAGAGAAATCTCAGAGATTTTTCTTCTCATGATTCCTTTCTAGCCACCAGGCTAGGAAATCTGGTGATCTTGATGCAATGAAGGCATTTAGATTAAAGCCAATTTTAGTCGATATCCAAACTACTCTCACTAGAGAACATTTGAAGAAGAGATGTACCTATGTTTCAGGTGCATTCCCATAGAGAACACAAGTATAGTCCCCTGAGTGATGTAAGAACCAAGTTGATTGCTTCGTTTTGACTCCATTCATCAGGGGGCTTTGTGGTTCACAACCTTGACCACTTGATTTGTTCACTAGAGGGGCCCACTGCTTCAGTTCTTGAGAAACTTCTATAGGCCAATCGGACTGAATATTCCCCATCCTTTGAATTCTTCCACAGTAATTTATCCTCTTGGCCTTGAGGGTTCAAGGGTATGTTTAGAATGGCTTCAGCTAATAAATCTTCAAAGACCTTGTGCAAGAGTTGAGAGTTCCATTCTCCATGGGAAGTGATGAAGTCTTTCACCATCCAACTTCTGGTTGCAAAGAGTTGATGTTGTCGGAGTTAGGGTTTGTTGGAGGGGAGTCCCGGAATCCAAGGATCCGTTTGGGAGTTTATTCGTGATCCATCACCAATTTTCCAACAAAGGTGGGAAGTGAGACTGTTTCGAACACTTAATGTGTTATGCCACCAATAAGAGTGGGACCTCCCCGGTTTGACACCAAAGATAGACTTGCTCCCCAAATATTTTGCTTGGATCTATTCCTTCCAAAGCTCTTCCTTACTCATAAGAAGCCGCCAGAATTGTTTAGAAAAAAGTGCCATGTTCATTGGTTCCGCCTGTCTAAGACCCAGACCTCCCCCAAATTTTGTTTTGCAAATCGTGTTCCAAGAGATATTGTGACCCCTTCCACCAGAAATAGCATTGGAGTTGGTCTAGTTTTTTCAGAATCTTCGTTGGAAATAAGGAGGTGAGCATCTAATAGATAGGAATACTTTGGGCTACTGCTTTTAACATGGTGGTTCTACCTGCCTGGGAGAGAAATTTTGCTTTCCAGGTGTCTAGCTGATTCTCTACCTTCGAGATGATTTCTTCAAACGGCCAGACATTTCCTCTTGCTTTGTCCATCCAAGAACCCAAGTACTTCATATTGGGTTGCATTAGTTTAATGCCCATTAGACGACTGAGGAGCTTCTGGTGAGTTCTATGTGTGTTCCTACTAAAGAAGATGCCAGACTTATGGAAGTTTATCTATTGGCCTGCTAGTTGCTCAAATTTGAGGAGAGCTGACTTGACAGCAAGGAGGGATTCTGGAGTGGCTTCACTAACAATGAGGTAGTCGTCAGCAAACAGGAGATGTGAGAGGGGTTTTGAATGTCTAGCCAATTTTATACCATGCAGCCTGCCTTTCACTTCCTCTTTCTCCAGTAGTTTTGTTAGCACTTGCATACCAATTATGAATAGATATGGTGATAGAGGGTCTCCCTGCTGAAATTCCCTATTAGTATGAAACAATTCAAGTGGGCTCCCATTGAGTTTTATTGAGAAGGTGATTGTAGTGATGCACTGTTTAATTAGATTACACCATTTCTCTGGGAATCCCATCCTTCTCAAGGTTTGGATGATGAAATCCCATCCCATTCTATCGAAGGCTTTTGCCATGTCAATTTTTAGTAATGCCCATCTGGCCTTGCCCTTCTAGTGTTTAATTTTGTGGGTTATCTCCTTGGCTAGGATTACACCATTTCTCTGGGAATCCCATCCTTCTCAAGGTTTGGATGATGAAATCCCATCCCATTCTATTGAAGGCTTTTGCCATGTCAATTTTTAGCAATCCCCATCTGGCTACCCAATCCCCTCTATTGGGATGACCATAAAGGAAAAGCAGAGACCAGGGTTTTCCTTGAGGTCCGTGGGAAATAGATAATTCAATGAGTCTTGGGGATGAGCCAACGACCTCCACTATTAGTCCATCTTTCCAACAACAGATGAGGCCCCCACTCTGGCCCTAGGCCTCAATTATTTCGTAATTAAAGAACTTCAAACGTTTGCAAAGAGTTGTGGCTTCTCTTAGATTCAGTTTTGTTTCGCAAAGAAAGCAGAAATCCGGGTTATGGGTTTGCAATAAATTCCTAATAGAGCGTTGAGTGTCTCTTCCCCTTCCCCCCGAATGTTCCAAGCAAAGATTCTCATAGTTTGATAGAAAGGAAGGGTGTTGCAGACAATGTAAACAAAGAAGTACATGTAATATTGATAATGTGAGTGAAAAGTATACAATGAGAGTAGGTAGTGCCGCAATTTGTTGCTCGGCATTTGGTAAGTCCTCCACCAGTCAAAGCTTCGACCACCAGTCAAAGCTCTCTAGCTTGTCCAACGATTCTAGACTTGAGAAGGAGTCTGCCCGGTTCAAACCACACCCTCGGATTAAACCACATACCCGGTTTAGACCTCCGGTCCAGCTTAAACCACTTGCCCGGTTCAGACCATGCTCGTGGTTTAGACCGCTCGCCCGATTCGAATCAATTGCCCAGTTCATCTCAATCGCTTGGGATGGTTGATAACTTATCAGCAGAGGGGGAGAAAACGCAATTTTCAAGGGATTTGCGGAAACTTGACTCTGCAGGTGGTCTTTCAAGGATATCTCTATTTTGAAGGGACGTCCTCAACTCTTTGCACCCGTTTCCAGATTTATCAGCCTAGGCCTCCCGAGAGGGTAGAGTAGACACACACTTTATCTTCTGATTTATGTGACTGATTTTTGTTGAGAAAATCCCGAGGGTTGAATTTACCCTTCTTCCAAATCGCACTATAGCTTGACTCGCTCCTCTTCCGTTTCGAGTTCGACGACTCGCCTTTGTCTTCGTCGCCAGTCTGTAGTCTTTGCAGCTTCGCCTTGTCTTTCGCCGAATACTGTAATGTTTGAGATTCTCCTTAAAGCAGCTTCTGCTTCTTGTCTGCTCCACTTTCCTCCTCCGTATCCTCGTCCGAACTACAGTCCCTTACCAGCGCCAACTGCTTGCATGGGACGTACCTTCCTAAGCTCCAGGTACTTTAGGGGTTTTTCTAATTTAAACTCAGCTCTAAGCCAGTCTCCAGGGGAGTCGAGGCTACGCTCATCCAACTCTTGTTAAATCTGCTCCAGGGAGATCTCCGGTGAGATCTGGCGACACTTCCGCCAGGAGTGTCCAACTAATTCACAGTAAGTGAAGCGAATCTACTCCTCACACCTTGCGCGTTCACTGGCGCCTCACACGCACATCCTACCATTCATTGAGAACATCTCCCGTATTTATTAGTGAATATTCACAGGAGATGTTCCCAATGCATGGTGGATGTACCTATGAAGCGCCCATTTGTAAGGAGCAGATCTCGTCACGTTCCAGCCGTAGTCTTACCATCTTAATGTGGAATCATATAAAATGAACGTGCTCCCAAATGGAAAAACAAAAAACCGATTAGCCAGGGTTCAGTGTTCACCCACTTGTTGCATTGATGAGGGGGGTGTTACTGTTCTCATTTATGATCCATCCAATTCAAGTTCAACTACTGCTCTTGTAACTTGTGCATTGTTATTTGTTATCTCTCTCTCACGTACACGGTACAGCACAATGACAGCGACTTCCAACTCATCCTGTCTCCTCCATCAAGGGAAGTGGGGCTGAATATTCTATATTCAGTTACACTGCACCATTACCATACGGGCTAGGTGTCAGCTTCGCAATTCTTTCAGGCTCTTCCTCTTCGTCCCCCTGACGAAGCATGTGAAAAACAGACAAAGGAGTACGTTACGGGGCGATTTAGTTTAGTTTGGTTCCATCACTCTTCTCGCTCAAGATAATCAATCTCTTTCCTATAGGGATTACCTTTTTTTTCTGGTAATGGAAAGGGTTGTTTAGTTTAGTTTTCTGCTTTTGTTTTTCATACATTTTTGTTGGATTGATTGATTTTTCTTTCTTTCAGTAGATGGGATTGATTGATTCAATTGGTTTATTTCTAGGAGTAATTAAAAAGGCCTTATTTCTATCTATTAATTCTTCTTTCTGGTCTCTACTCTCTCTACCGATCACTCACCATCACCACCACCTTTTATTGAACCAGCCACCGTATTTATTTATTTATTTTAAATAAATTACTTTACAAGTAAAACGACGTCCACGAGTTTTTTACCATTATAGAGTTATAGGACAGAATCAGGTCATCAGGAACTCAGGATGAACACAGAGGTCTTTGCGTTCCGTCCCTCGTTCCATCGCCCTTCCCTTTCCCTTTCTCCTTTCCCTCCAATTTACAGACGTCTCCTGGTCCGGCCCGACTTTGACTTTCGTCGGCCATTTTCCCTCAACTTTAGACTTACCACTCCGACGACCACGCCCTACGTTTTTCCCGCCGGCATTATTGCTGTTTCTACCCCCCTTCTTCCGCTCAACGTTACCGCCCACCGAAGTAGAATTCCCCGCCGTAATCTGACTTCCCTAATGACGGCTTCTTCAATTTTCAGCGACAACCCAGTCTTCAACGACTTTTTCATCGCAGCTCTGGCTGCTGGAGTCGCGTTTTCGCTGCTTCGCTTCTGGGGAGAAATCGCCAAGCGAGGACTTCTCGAAAAGGTTTCTTTTCTTACCTTCCTCTTGCTCATTCGCAGTCATTGAATTTTGCTTTGTTCAACAATTTCAACAATTTCTGCTTTTGATTAAGGAAGGATGTTAAACCAGATCTTGTTGCCGCTATAGCGTAAAAGAAGGGCTTAGATTGAAACAAATCCAACTATGCTCGTGGTTGGATTAGCTTAGTTTAACCTAATTCTATAATTCCATGTTTAACTGTTTGAAACTTTTGAAACTGATTTCATATGGGGGCATAATGGATATCCCTCCTGCTTTCAGATTGACGACTGTGGTTTTGTATGAATTAGGGAGGCAATTTCTATGATACCGAAAGACCTGAAGGGCCGGAAAGAAGGCTAATTTGCTTACTCATTAATCCCCATCCCTTCTTACATCTGTATCTAACCATGAGGAAGTTGGAAATCACCCCCTCTACAAGATTGCACTGTATGGGATATTCCAAACTGTACTCCAACGTTAGAAGTTCATAAGTGAATGCTTTTCTTGGATTCACCTGGTGTTGTAGAGTGTCACTATTGAGAACTAGTTGCAACACAGAAGATAGAAACTCACTACAGCCCTCAGAAATGATAGACATTAGGAATAGAAGCACTATACCTTCCTATGTCAATTCTCCTAACTCTGGCATGTAAACTGGCACCTATTTATTTCAGTGTTAACAGAACTGCATGCTTTCTGCACTGTATTACATTCCAGTCTAAATGGTCATATTATCTTTATCCATTTCTTTTGGTTTTGTTGATGAAGGTAACCCAACTAGGAGTAGCTTGAAATGATTATGATCCTTTCATTCATAGAACCACATTAGGATTGTAAAGCAGGTAAAGCCTTCCAGTTAGAGCTTGAATATGGTCTAATCTGATTTACATATTTGCATTTTGAAAGCATTTTAAGGAATAATGTTGAAAACCAAGGTGAAAAACATTTGTAATTAATAATTTGACATTATTCTTATTTGTTCCTTTGTAATTTCATTTTATTGTACATGGGACTAAAATTTATGCCACAGAAGCATTAGTAGCATCAGCTTTAGCAATAACAGTGGGGGTTTGTTGAAGAAAGAGGTTGCTGATATCTAGAGGACTTAATTGATCTATAGATGCTACATTCCTCATTTCTTCTGCCATGTGTTTGCATTTGGATGCATATATGACTGCTCTAATTGGCAACTGCTGAAGTTTTTATAAGGGATACCTTTTATGAATCACATTCACTGTAAAGAATGGAAGAGACAATTCCATCTTCTTAACACAACTGACCCTCCCAAGATCCATTAATCTCCATTTCTTTTCTCCCAGAATCTTCTCTAATTTCTTTTGTTTTGCTCAGACAATGAACCGGAAGCTTGTACATATAAGCATTGGGCTCGTCTTCTTGCTTTTCTGGCCACTTTTCAGGTATGCACATGGCTAAAGAAGGATTTTGCATTTTTGTTTTGAAATGTCAATCTGATGCATGTTACAGTTCTGGACCACAGGGAGCATATCTGGCAGCTCTTGTCCCAGGTGTTAATATAATACGGATGCTTCTAATAGGACTTGGAATATGGAAGGATGAGGCCACTGTCAAGTCAATGAGCAGATCCGGTGACTACAGGTTTCAACTTATAAGGAATACTAGGGTGTCTGCATGCTAAACCCCTGTGTAGGTCCAAATGTACTTTGGTACTGACCGAGCATTATAACTATCAATTGGACTTGCACTTTTTGCCATAGTTTTCCTGACTGTCCATAATAGGTGTTGGTACTTATCTAAAAAGAAAGGTTAAGTTGAGTTTATTTTTATCTTCAGAAATCTCATACTAGGACCCATTAGGTGCTCGGTACCAACATTTACAGATGGATCTGTACAGAATACAGGCATTGGAGGTGTTCTAAGACTTTTTTTTTTCAATTGTACAAGTATTTTCTTTTCATGTAACTCATTTTCTGATTCCAACATCTTGTAATGCTTTAGGGAACTTCTAAAAGGACCATTATATTATGCTTCCACAATAACCTTAGCTTCTGTTGTTTACTGGCGTTCATCCCCTATTGCCATTGCAGCAATTTGCAACCTCTGTGCTGGAGATGGTATTTCAGTTGCTTCCTATTTCTTTGCATATTTAATTTTGTTGACTATACTCATATACGGTTTTAATTGAATTGGTGTTGCATAACCTATGAAAGAATCAGGAAGGACTAATGAAGCAGAGATTTAAGACCCTGCTGTGCTGATAGGTGGAGGGGTACTTTTTAAGCTTAGAAAAGACAAATGCTCTATAGCAGGGGTGTCGATTGGACTGGATTTGGTCCAACCTGATCCAGTCCAATGTGAGTCCATTACAAATGGACCAGGTCCAATCCAGTGCAATGAATAATTTGGACCATTTTGGACCAGTCCAATTCAATGTTCAGACCGTCTAATTTGTTCAAATTCATAATTTAAACTGGTTTCAACCCAAACCCGGTCCATTGACACCTATATTCTTATCTAATATCAATGGACCAGATATTGGCTTAATCCAATCAAATCCAATATAAATTTATTACGGACGGACCAGGTCCAGTCGAATCTAATAAATATTTTGGACCGGATTGGTCCAATCAACTGTCTTTTTGGCCCGTCCAATCCGTCCAAATTGATTTTGGACTGTATGGGGTCCAGTTCAAAACCGGTCCATTGACACCCTTACTCTATAGATGCTAGAATGCCCACAAACAGAACTACAAAACGAATTGGAAACTAATGCCAGGAGAAAAATGTTTATTAGTTCTTTGTCAAAATGTTCATTACACCTCAATCCATTAAGTATTCTATATCTTAGAAACAACTTGACAAACATTTCTGGTACTCATTAACCATGCTAGTAGTAAGTCAAAAACCAAAACACCTAGCCATATCTTCTATTCAGTATACACTAAACATAAAAGATACAAAATTGAAAATGCTAAGTCTAGGTTGACTTCATTTGAAGTCTCTCAAGCTAATGAACTTCTAGTTTAGATACAACATAGCATGAACAGTTATATTGCTTGCAGGTGTAGCTGACATAGTAGGAAGGCGGTTTGGAAGACAGAAGCTTCCATATAACAGGGACAAATCATTTGCTGGGAGCATTGCAATGGCATCTGCTGGTTTCATAACTTCTATCGGGTAATTTTCTGTCATCTTTCTAATTTTTCTAATTTTCTCCAGATTGCTTTCTATTCATTATCAAATTGGTAGTTGAGTGATGTGTGGCTTGTTTCTGATAAACTTCTGTACAGTTATATGCACTACTTTTCCCTGTTTGGGTTACTTCAAGAAAGTTGGGGAATGACTTTTGGATTCCTTATTGTCTCTTCACTCACTRCAATAGTAGAGTCACTTCCAATTAGTTCTGAGCTTGATGATAACCTCACGGTTCCCTTGACTTCTCTATTGGTTGGAAGCCTTGTTTTCTGATGCCTATGTTG